AAAATCTATGCAGGCTTTCTCCCACAATACCCTGCTCCTGCTTTTAATTCCAACTTCCAACCGAGGCATCAGCCCCCTTTGCAGTCAATAACTCCGTTCACTCCCTCCATATCGAATCCCGAGATCAAAACTGCCACTCTCGGCCCTCACCCCCCTCCTCCCCGCCCTCGGCCTTCTACCCCTCTCTACCGCAACCACTACTCAGCTATTATAATTCACTCCCTGACCCCGGTCGAGACGAGCCAAGCTTTAGCAGCTGCCTTGCAGCAGCGCAAATTACTCGAAATGCTACAAAAATACTTTAAAGAAAAGGAAAATGGCACGCGAAAGAAAATCCATCCCTCCCCCCGTTCCCTCTCCCAAAAAGAAAAAACAGATCCCCTAATAAAGACAATCTCATAAAATAAACCAGCTTCCCAAAAACAATATCTACAGGATCCCTGGACAATCATTCACAATAATCCTCACGGCAAAAAGCCCGACGCAAATGCTTAAGATACAGTGCTCTCAGACAAATGCAACAAGAACAATTTTCGATCGTAAACATAAAAAATAAAGGAGTCATCGATAAGGCGAGAACAGTTTATAAAAGGCAGCTGCCAAAGTAACAAATCACGCCAAAACATTCGAATTCCGCGAAACACCGACAGAACAACCGAATCAAATTCGGCAACATAAATGTCATTCGGTTCAAAACAAATTTCAGCACTGCAGAAGAAACAAATAACAAAAAAGGTAAACCTGGGGCAAAGCGCCAAGAATCAGAGGTGCAAAGAATGCAGAATTAGAGATCAGCCAGTAACATTATAAAAACAACGGTAAAATATGACAACCATTCATACACATAAGCAGTAGCAGTGAGGTACAGCAGAAGACTGCCAACACTTAAATTTCGCATGTAAGCCAGCCCGCTGGCAAGCTGGAACTTCATGCCAGCATTTCTGAATCACCCAAACAGCTTATTTGTGCAAAACATGTTACAATAACATACACCAATGTGCCAAAAAAAACCGAAAAAATGCCTAAAAACACCGACATGCATGGACAGCCAC